GATCTTACGATATCTATCATGTTTGCCCCCTCCCCATCATGATCACATCGGTATTGGTAAAATATTGTTATCAATTATTACTCAGATTTGTGCCGGTAGCTCTTGTGAAAAACATCAATCAAGATGTTGAGTGGTTTTTATGATGACGCACCGCAGTTTTTCAAAATATGATTTTTAAGCTTTAATCAGCACAAACATTCTCTTCCATGTGCACTGGAGTGGCGGCAGTGACGGATATCTCTAAACCTGGACGATCAAAACCAAAACTATCTTTTCTTTTTGTATATGGCTCCTTGAAAACTTGATTTTCCCTTCAAAGCACAGACTGGGTATAGACAGTGTGGCTCTGATTGCCAGATGCCACTGCAACACTTAATTTACCAGCATTCAATCAAACCTGTAATGAAATCTATTCTCTGTATGCATCAGCACACCTGGAATGAAATGCACTTCTCATCACCACTACTTTTCAATTGGAAAGGATCTGTTAACATTACACCATATCACCTTAGCTCCTGCGCATATATTAAACCTCATCCAATTGGCAGAGCACTGAGGTGGAATATTATGCAAATTCCTAATAACAAGTGTACATGATTGAATTCACTCAGTCAACAGCAAGAGTCCTGCACACACCGCACTTATACTCAGTGTGTGTGTGTGTGTATGTGACGCACACAATTATGCTCTGTCTGTTAACCACGTCTGTCAGCGCACAGACGTCAGGAATTAAAACTGTCAAATTACTAAAACTCACAGCGACGAGCCAGAGCTGCTCTGCTTTTCACCCGGATTTGAAAAAGGGAAAATGATTCATTTGTTCCATTCTTCATCCTCAGGGTGTCTCTCAGGAGTTAAATTGTGTTTTTTTTTTTTTTTTTTATTAGTGTGGAAGAAATAAATCTGCAGCAGTAGCAGGAAGCAGAGGGATATGAAACTTGGGGCCATTTTGTCTCATTGACTTCTCATTGGGATCGAGTATCCATTAGGGGAACAATAACATGCACTTGTAAACTCGTGGAAGCTGAAAGTAATTTGGGTTATTTTGAAAAATCTTCACTTGCAAAACAAACTAGAAGACGAGTTGTTCTCAGGTTGCAAAGTATTTAAACGCACCCTTGAGGAAAGTCTGATATGATGGAAAAGTTGTTCTGTTTAAATTATTTCATATCTGACCTTGATATAAAAGTAGCTGTTCCCTCCCAGCAATATTTTAAATTCCAGTATTGTACAGTTCCGATGCTTTAATGTCCTGCGAGAGGGAAGAATTCATTCACAATTGAGAAAGTGCGAGACTTCAAAGAGCTCAGATTGCCGGTAATTGGTGTCATGGAAAAGCTTATGGCTGCTGTATTGTTAATGAAGCAGATTTGAGCTTGCGAAGACAGTAGCCATTTACTTAATCACTTAGTTATCACTTCCATTGTAATTAGTTTCAGACTCAACTTAATCACCTGTGGGGGGAAAAAAAAATACTTCACATATAACAACAGACTTTATTTCCCTTATGCAAAAAAAAAAACCCCATCACCAATTAGTAAGATACAGCTCAGGCAACGCTGTGTAAGACCTTCTTGTTTACGTAACCTGCCGCACCATCTATTTTTATCAATGTGGATGCAGTGGCAGAGTGTTTCTCTTCCTACGGTTGTGTGGAGGAGCACCAGGGTTGTTCTCCAACCACACTCTTCAAAACAGCAGCAGAGTGATGGTCTGTCACTGAATCCATCACGCCTGTCTCTCCGTCTCTCACAGCCTCGCTCCTCCTTCAAATAAGCTCCTCGCACATACACTCACTTGTTATCTCCATCTCTTTTTCTTTTTTGCTCTGTGGCTTTCATCCTTCCTTTGCTTTGCTCCCGCTCCTCTGTCTATTGATCTCTGAGTCCTCTCTCATTCACTCCCCCTCTTCATCGCCACTTTGTCACCAAGGTTGAATTTCATCCCTTCATCTCCCTTTCTTTTCTTTCCCCTGGCTGTCACCATCCCTCTCTCTCCTCCCCTCCCTTGACTCCACTCACGCAGCCCATCTGTCTTTTTACCTTTTGGCAGACTTGGGTATCTCTATATTAAGCCTTCGCTGAGCTGAGACCATGTTGAGTCGACACAGAAATACAATGAGACAGTTTTAGAGAAGAAAACTTGACTCTTAAACCGTGTAAACATGAAAGCGAAGTTGTGAAATAAGCATAACGCTGCGTTAATTATCACATCTACGAGAGGTGATGATTCTATTCCCCATCAACTTTAAAATAAAAGTACTCGTGTAGTTTCAAACCCCAATTTTTAGTTTTCATGTGCTGGTGAAGCACAGCGTAGAAAGCCAAGAAGTTGGGTACAGTTGGCCATCACCTCCTGCTTGCCACCGAGCTGCTTTCCAGGCTGTCGGTATGATTCACAGTGAAATAATCTTACTGTGACCGGTGGCACCATATGTCCCAAACACCCAATGATTGAGTCATCCAACCTGCTCCTCAAGCATGTTTTGACAGGTCATTTGTCGGCCCTGGATTTGTTTACCTCAGCTGCGCATCTCACCCCCTGTCGAGCCACTTGACTCATTCCCCTCGACTAGGAGGAAGCCCTCAGCAGCCTCGTAGCCAGAGGCCAGGGAGGGCGGCATGGTCCAGAGGGAGTGGATGAGTCACAGGTACCAGAAAGCCACTGGGGCGACAGGAGGCAGAGACCACACTGAGATAGAGGCTCATTACCAAAAACGGCATGCCGCTGCCGCCAGGCCAGGACGCTGTTCGGTTAGAATCCAAAACTCAGAGCTGTGTCTTTGCCGAAGAGCTGATTGGCAGCTGGCGTAATGAGACAAAAGAAAACTGTCCAAGAATAAAAGAGGAGGCTTTAACAGGCTCACTGCTGCACCACTTTTGATTGCCTCTCCCACTGGGATTGCAATTATGATTTATGACTTTTTAATGTGGTCATAAGTCCAAGCAATCATAAGAATAAATGGCTAAAAGTGAAGATTTTTAATTGGAAGCTCTACTCAAAGCGTTATATCCAGAAAGATTAGATAGTGGACTACAGTATATCTGTGGAGAAATGGCAGCAAAGCCCAGCTAGAGAATGAATGCAATGATACATGATGATGAGATACTAAGCCTCTACAAGCACCTGCACAGACGTCTGCCTCCAGATAATGACGAGTGAAAAGAACTTCACAGTAACTTCATGATTTAAATAATAAGCTTTAAACTGTCGGCCAGGAAATGTGTAAATGCAGATCTGATCAAACCTTGTTTGATTCTAATTTTGCCCCCGTCGGTAATAAGATTCAGTCAAATTAAAGCTGCGACGACGACAGGAGGCAAATGGCTCATCTCACCGTGTCATGCATTGTGGTGTCAGGCGCCTTTTTGGGCTCAAGGAAATTAGATTTAGATTTCACTCATTTGTCTCTTGTGGATTTGTAATGAGATTTGTCTGAAATCTAACGACTCTGATCAGATTCCCCCCTCAGTAATATCCCCTAATATATGCCTCTGATCAACATACACACTCTGAGGACGAACCTTTTTGACCCTTTTGACTTAGTCATTACCTTTAATAATGTTCACCCAGAACTCTCTGACGCAGGGGTTGAGTTAGGTTTTATAAACACCCTCCTTTTCACCAAAAAGAAAAATACATCCAAGATGTTTGTCTCGAAGGGATCGAAGACTTTGAGTTGTTTTTGCAGATTCACCACATAAATATATCCACATAATTCTGAAATCCTGGCAGGAGCCATCAATCATCTGGCAGAGTTGGATGATATGATGATTCTGTAACTCTTTGAGCCAAAAGCATTCTATTATTTTTTCTGTTATCAATATATCTCCAGTTCATGATGTACTGTTTATCACTACTGCAAAATAAAATCACACACTCTGTTAGATTCCATCCATATCATCCGCTCCATAACTCTGAGACGAATTTCTATACCGGACTATTCTGGAACCAAGAATCGTCATTCTGTCAAGTCTGGGTCACTTAATTCAGAGAAAGATTAAAATCTGCTCTTCTGAATTATTGAGCCGATCTCCTCTTTACTCGCCCACCAATCATCACCCTCATCATCATCACTCTGAACATCTTATAAACTCATCACCAAGCCTGATTTAGACATCATCAGTTTCCATTTTCATTCCTCATCGAAGCTTTCTGGAGCTGCTGGATTTAACTTGTTTTGAACACCTGCATGTTTTCTCCCCCTCTGCGCAGCTCCGTCCTCCCCCTCCACAGACTAATCAGTTTCACAGAAATTGTCATTAAAGGCGGAGAGAAGGGCCTGACACCACAGATGGCAGCAGCCTTTTGCAAATGAGCTCTGATTATGAGAGGTGGCAGGTTTCACTCTTCTTATCATCGCTGCCTTTCACGCCATTAGGCAAACACTCTGCTAGGGTCACATCACCCAAGGACATTTACATGGTAGATTTACCTCAGCTAAGTAACCTTGTGTTTGTGGTGCACTGTTGCACAGACTGTCCCCCTCGGCTTCATTTTGAAAGAATTTGACAACCTCATTTGGGTCCATGTTGGCAAAGGCGTCACACTCGGTGAGCTATTGGCCAGACCTGTTATTTTTGGCTCGTTCATCACACCAGGTGCTTGCGCCCCTGATCCCTACACTGGGAAGCAAAGTCTGTGAAAATGATATCAGGTTCCTGTTGCTCTGCTCTCATCAATATTTAAAGCTCTAACTCATTTCAGAGTTGATTTCTCACTGGCTGGGGAGCTCTCGTCGGTCTCCACCAGTCTGTAGGGAAAGCACAGGTCCGAGAAAGTCTGTATTGATCTATTAACAGTGAAGGGAAAGGGAGCAGAGAGCTGAGTTCAAACACCTCTCCCATGCTGTTTCTCACATAGTGAAATCCCTGTAAACGCAACCTGTCTCTCCCAGCTGCTACTTGACCTATTTTAGCTCTTGAATGTTTGTTTTTCTTTTTCATTTGATTCAGTCAGAAAATCTCTTAACCTTTTCTCATTCTTTTTCTGTTGTCAAGGTGTGAGGCGGCCACCAGACCTGGAGAAGACCAATCACAGTGTTCATTATACACTCCTGATCGCATGTGTTTTGGTGGCCTTTGTCCTCGGCGCCTTTCTCTCTGGCTTCCTGGTCTCCTGCTACTGTAATCACACAGGCCACAAGACCAAGAAGTTGGCAAAAGATCCTGAGGCTCCGATTCCACACGCCCTATCCCTCCGCAGCCTGGCCAAACTCAACGGCCTCCTGGACAGCCAAAGTAAGGATGACAAGCTGGAGGTGTCATCTCCAAAGATCTACAATTCTTTCTTCACCAACAGCAAGGAACATCACCCATCAAGGAGAAATGGCCACCATGCAATGACAATGGGAGACCTGGTTCACCCCCACCATCACCACCTTCACCATTCCTCAGAACTCTCCGGTCTGCCGACACCAGACTCGACCCCAGAGCTGCCCATCAAGAGCATGAAAGCCTTCAAGAACCAGTGGGAGAAGAACCAGAATTGCAACAATGCCAAAGACCCAAAGTCCCACAATGTTGGCTCCAGACCCAGCTCCGCCCTGCTTCACCAGCAGGTCTTCCCCTACTCCCACGGCCTGTCCAATGGGCAGCCACTAGTTGGGGGTCACCTCCTTTCAGAGGAACGTAAAATCCACAATGTTGAGCGTGTGCTATCCCAGCAGCCTTACCCTGGTTACTCGCAGAAGGTGATGGAGGTAACCTCACTGGACGAGCTCCTGAAGCACATCCATGAAGCAAGCAGCAGTAAAAACTCCCAGTTGATGAGCCCATCAGGTCTGATGGCCAGTGGTGGTGGAGGCCAATTAGCCTTTGCCAACCGAATCCAACCTCAGATCCCTGAGACCGAATCTGCCCCCTACTACAGCTCGTCAACTTTACCACGAGATAGCCTTACCCGACGCATGGATGTTCCTCCTGACATCCCTCCACACCACCAGTCCACTCTAGAGAGGAGGCACTCCTCCCAGAGGCACTCATTGATTGCTGCAGCCACCAAGATGCCAAGTGGAGGTGGAGGAGGGGGAATGATCCCTCGCCAGCACAGCTTCAGTCAACGAAACGGTGGGCCCCACCAACCACCTCCCCTGCTGGCACGGATGAACTCAACAGGCAGCGCATGCGAGGTTCACTACCCTCTCATCCCTAATGGGTACCTGGCACGCCAGCACAGCTACACCGGAGAGCAGGAGGTCCCACACAGGGGTGCCATTGTCCGCCGGGCCTCCTCGCTCAAACCCGACGTCCCTCCCAAACCTTTGTTCATACCTGCCACATCCCCGGTTAACCAACAGGGGAAGTTCAACTACTGAGGAGATTCACTCCTGGACTAGAGGAGGTCTCCCTCATTGTCTCCTTAAAGGACATTCTCTTTGAAGAAATCCAGTGGGTTTGAGGTTTCAGACAGAACAAGAAAACACAACCTATCATGTGACATCCAGTGTCACTGTGGACAAAAGCCTCAACCAAACTTGTTTTTTCCCACTCTTTTTGTCCAGCGAATATCTTTGTACCATATTGGTATTGCTCAGCTACTTGCTTATTATAGAACCGCTGACCCGGGTGACGTGACGCCACCTCCTTATATTAGGCTGCCAATGTCCTCAGTGTGGATTTACAATGCAACTTAGTTTTTGGACACATCGATGTTGGAAAAACGTAACTCATCAGTCATCATGAACACTTTAAAGCCGGAGGCTCCTGCGATGCTTAGATTCAGGCTTTTGCTTAACCTTTTCTGATGTAGTGTTGGTAACCAGTCCCCACCCACCCCACCCTCGAATGTGTTTATATTATGCATGTGTGTGTATATATATGTGTGTTTATATCCACACCGTATATGTATACATATACATTTGCAGTATATGTAACCTGTGGTGAAAAGTCAGCAAATTCCCCTGAAAGTAGTTATGTCTTGGCCTTACTATACTCTTTCATCTTTGGGCATATCAAACGATCCCCCCACACACTCTTAAGAAATATCTTAGACACCAAATCATGCACTTCATCAACACAGCTCATTGTCAGTTGGCTAAAAAAACAATGAACCAAATTTGTTTGTGTTGACAAGAGAAAGGAAATACTTCAACAAAGCAGCTATTCTTGTCTCTTCTCTCTTTTCTTTCCCTGTTCCAGCAGATGTCAGGTCAGGAGTGACCTAATTGGGTCCATTTAAGTTCCTCCAGAATGTTTCTATGACGTTGGTGCTCCACAAATTCAGAGGGTTTAACATCCTCTGCAATGAAAAAAAAAAAATACTGTATACTCAGAAATGTTTTGGACCCAAATGACAAGACAAACATGCCATGCCATCTGGCAGAATGAACATTACACGTAGAACGAATTGCAAGTATTATAATTATTAACTTTGTGACTATTGGTTGTAAATAAAGGAATAATTACTAGCCAAATTTTAACTGTATGTGTAAATGTGTGCCTTATTTAATAATAGTGTGTGACATGGGGTAGGGGTTAATGCAAGGGGCTCTGATGGCTACTATGCTCCAGTATATTGTTGGTGTTTCATTTCCTATGGTCGTCAGTATGTGTCACAGTATCTATTGTATATTTGAAGAGTTTCATTCCAGAATGAATTTGTCATTTAAAAGTTGTCACTTGTTCTGATAAACTGGTAACTGTGAATATGATTGTAACACTTATTATTGTATTATATTTTATGTTATATCTTGAGTATATTGAGCCTTTTCTTTTTTTTTTTTTTTTACAAAGGAATATTTTACAAATTATCGTCTTTTTTCTAAGATTGATGGAGTTTTGGAATGAAACCCTTCATTTCGCTTTGTTTTGTTTTCTTTGTTTAGTTTTTTTTTAGCATCCCAGAAGTGTGAGCCTGCAGTATTTCTGGGAGCGTTGGGTAAAGCGAGTGTAAGACTTCAGGTTTGACTGCCTCCGTATTTTGTCACTTTCCACTGGGTGTCACTTTCCCTATTAGTGCCATTGTTTTGTTTGTTTTTAGAAGTAGTGCTAGCATCTCTATGGAGTTCTGTAGGAGCAGTTCACGGTTCCTCTGAAGCTTGACCAACAGACATATCGCCATTTCTAGAAGTCACATTTAACTGATGGATAAAGCAAAATAGTGGCATGTTGCTCCTGCTCTGAAAGTCAGAAAATAATGATCTCATTTAGAGGAAGAAAACTATATTGTATTGGTTTTGTGTGTGAATCAGAAGAAATGCAGGAAGAGACATGAATCTGGACACGGTTGCTGCTGTAGATTCTGACATACCTGTGTCAACATCAACAATACAGGAAGCAAATAAACGGGAGTGGAGATAAAGTTTTTGTTGAACAAAAATGTTAAAACATGAAGAAGTGCAATGAACGTTGATCCGACGACGTAAGATTGTCTCTTGGATCGATACTTAGGAAGTGATGGAGGACCAGGTTCCCAGTTGGTCGCAGCGCCGAACATCTTCCGAGGTTTCCCCTCAGGGATGATGATGTCAGTCAGAATGGTCAAAGCCTCCAAGACTCTCCGCTGTTGCAACTTTTCAACAGAGTCACTTTGGCCACAGTCGAGTGGAACCATGATCAATTCTGTGAAAACAGCACTGCGCTTGTTACTGTATCTGAAAGTGGTTTTATTGATTTAAAATTTCCCAAAGCTCATTTGACCCAATGTAAAGTTAATCATTCATACTCCAGTTAATGAAGGAAAATATGGCTGACCACACATTTTGTTTTGTTTTTTTCAGAAAAAAAAGAAGTAGACTTAGCCTTTCATACAACAAATATAAAACATTCAACTTGGTTTTTAAGGTCCTGCCCGTAATGTTTCATAAGAGGAATTGCTGCCATGTTTAAAGAGTGTGTGAGTTTTTCTTTTTCTGCCGGTGGCAGATTGTATGAGAAAAGAAGCGGTCTCGCCTCTAAAGTCTAAATCAGTATTTGATTTGGTGTAAATACATTCTATCTGGACGGGGTCTCATTGATTCATTTTTTTTTTCTGTTTGATTTTCAGACTGCGCCTCTTGAATTACTATGAATTTGGTCTCACAGAATACCATTGTATGTCTCTTATACTAGGAATAAAAATGAAAATATGACACAAGTGTCTCACTGGTGATTGTGTCAAAAATAATGCATGTAAAGTCACTAGTCACTGCATGAGGGTTTAACACAAACACAACTTCCTGACATTGTGTGGAGATGTAGATGCGTATAAAATCAGCTGTGGAAATCCCATGTTGTTTTGCATCGGAGCATGTCTGAAAGCAGGTTTGCTTTCTGCCAAAACCTTCATAGTTTTAGACATTTGGTTGATCACTAGGAGAACGGTTCAGCTGGTTCGAGCGCCCCCAGGTGCGTTTTGCTCAAGTCCCTTGAAACGCTCCTGGTTATGATTGTGTTAGTTGTTGGCTGTGGTCAGTGTTTGTCTGTCAGACATCAATATGTTGGTGGAAATTTCAAAGCCAAACACCTGGAAAACCTGAAAAATACAGAGTACCATGCTCTATTACACATTTTATCAACTGCTTATCTTTTAAAGGCTTTAACAAAATCAGCAAATGTCATTTGGTTTAGTTTCTTTACAATAAAATAAGCCCCAAGCCACTACAGGACACAGCTGAAGTAAATATCCAGGTCTTGCTGCCGTACAGTGGAGGAGTCCTGTTCTGACCTAACCCCTGATGAGAAGACAATCAAGTTCAATTCAATTTGTGCATTAAGAACCAAGAGGAACCATAACTTAGTTAGAACTGTTATGTGTTTATGTCTATATGATTTGATCAGGTGGTAAACAATGACACTGTTGAAAACTGAAATTTGGCTCAAATTAGAGTTAATCTGGAGACAGTGATTGATGAAAACCACTCAAATGAGGTAGTCAAGATTTTTTACAGGACTCGTGGTTTTGCAGTTTAGAATAATTTCTGATAAACCCTGAATGAAAGTCGTATCAAGGTTGTGTCCTGTTTACCTGCTTTCAAATTTAATGGCTCTTGTAAATAATAATAAATAATAGGAAGTAATGAGGGAAATTGCTATGATAAAGCATATAAAGCAACATAGTACATTTGTGGGCTTCAGCCTTGCTAAACATAAAGGCTCTAAGTGCTTTTTGCTCTTGCACAAACGTTTTACTTTTCTTGTTCATCCTGTGCGACCTGCAGGGAATTGTCCAGGACCAATTCACCTCATAATCCCATAATTATATCTTGCACATAATGTTCCTCCAGCTCAGCACAGTACATGGTATATATAATAATGCCTTGTGAACACAATCATACGTAAATTGAAAAAAATTCACCCAATGTTCCCCTCGTAGATGAAATGATCCCATGCTGAGCACCTCGATGCAATCATTGTTCTCTTTCATGAAGAAATATTCATTTTACTTTTATTTTGTGCTCCTGTATCTGTCATTCATTACAGCACCGTCCATGTGAAGGTAAGTAAATTGACTACATCATTGGGTATCATTCACATTTAAAACTAATGGACCCAGTAGAGTGCAAACATCCGCCAAAGCAACCGTGTTAAAATTCACAACATCTGCAGGTAACAATGCTGGGAATTTTATTTGGTATTAAATTGTCTCTGTAGGTTTTTTTTTTTAAATGTCATGGTGTCCAATTCATGTGTTATTTGTTTTGGACATACAGACCTGTTCAAGAAGAAGTAGTGTTGGCTAATCATAGCAAAAATGCTAAACTAATATCAAGCTAAACTGTGAAAATAACTCAGTTAAAACCGTTGCAAGTGAATAACCTGAAGAAGAATGACTGATGGTCGATGATGCTTCTTGGTATTTTCTCGTCCATGGAAGGGCCGACTTCTTGCAGGCGTGCTAACGTTAGCTGTAGCTGCTGCGGGTTTTCAGACACAGTGCACTCTGCTCGCCCAGGTGATAACTTGAGTTTAACATGTTGCCTTAGACAACTTTGCATTCTGCATCACAAATGTGGCAGTGCACGTTGTCAAGTGTACCCACACTGTTCGGATGATGTCGCTATATATATGATTATATATAATTGTACATTATGGAAGTACTTCTCTGTGCTGAGTGCTTTCGTTTTTGAAAAGAACTATTACAAAAAAAAAAATATTCATAAATTTAGGCACTTACGTAATTTTCATGTAAATGCTAAATGGACTGCATTTATATAGAGTCGTCCTGATATTAACATCCACTCAAAGCATTTTACGGTACAGTTGACATTCAACCGCACTCACAGCGCTTCTATATCAAACCCACTGATTATCGGACGACCCGCTCTACCTTTAAGCCACCTGTGTTATGAATGTGGTGAATACAGAGTGTTATTGAGGTTTTACTCGGTGAACATGTTACCAGAATCAGGAATTTAGTCGAGTTAAAAGGTTTTGTTTTGCTTCCCTGTAAAGATCCATATTTCAGAAGTTTCAATCGCAGCAGAGTAATGAAGATAAAACTCTGATGTGTTTACAGAAGTAAATCTGAATTCAATTACCAAGTTACACTGACTAATAGACTCCACACAGGTCGTTGCATAAGAGATAATAAACAATCACGGCGTGAACTCACCCCCTACAGCGAGTAAACAGCCGGGAGCTTCAGGGTCGTGTTGAGAGACATTTCTGCAGAGTTTACGTCTGCTGATGGATGCTGTGTATCTGAGACCTTTAGCTTCAGTTTTAAAAAACCCTCCAGAATATTCTGAACAAAACTAACAGAGGACTTAGATTATTATTATATATTGTATGATTATAATGTATGTTTTATTACAAGTGGTAGGTAGTGTTGTGTTATTTCATCATTAGAGGTTAGTTCCAATGAAAAAACAGTTTTTGTGTCTCATCTTGTTTCTGGAAAGAAATTTTCCTGTAATATGATAAGTACTTTCATGATGAAATACCACTGCAGGTAAGTGAGAAGACTCTAATTGAGCACTTTATTAGCAACATCTGCACACATATTACTCATGCAATTATCCAATCAGCCAATTATGTGGCAGCAAAACTGAACAGTTGAAGGCTGGAAAGTCGTACCCTGGTCGGATGAGTCTGTATTTCTACTGAGGCTGCAGATCATAGGGTCAGAATTTAGTTTCAACAACATGAATCCATGAACCGAACCTGCCTTGTGTCCAGGCTGCTGGTGCTGTGATGGTGCGGGGAGTGTTCTCTTTGCACACATTGGGCCTCTGAGATCAGAGGGACCCAGAACATTTTAAAATCTCTGCTGCTTTTACACAAAGTTATTAATCTGAGTTTTACCGTCGTGTCCATCAGTTGATCCTTCTGTAACTGCATTACTGAGAGGATCTTAGATAAACCTATTGTGGCATTAAAGTACAATGATGCCCTCGTCTAAGATATATACAGTGAAATGACTCTGATGGGTGCTGAGATTGACCTTTTAGCCAAAACACTTCTACTAATGAGGTGGTATTGATTAGTTTATACAATTATC